AAAGGGACCCTGGACTGGCTCCATGACCACCAAATCAAATAGGCGACCCCTGAATGGGCGCCTTGCATGCACCCTCCTCACTGGTAGAAAGTCGGTTCTGGCGTGCAACAAGTCTGAGTGAGTGAGACATTTGGCAAGTCAGGTCTGGGGGCTCCGATAAGCCGGGGAGAGGGCTTGAGGGCGGTAGTAGCACATATTAGGCTTAGCGGCAGCTTTTTAGGGGCGCTGAGGTGACCACGAGATAAGCGTCCGGCGGCCTGCAGTAGCTAGCCCCCCACCTGTGGCCGAGTCAGGTCTGGTGGGTGCGATGCGCTGTCTGAATGATCGGCAGTGCGGTCTGGCCCGGGTCCATCATGGCTGATAGGGAAGCAAATGAAGGAAGGCAAGTGAAGAAGGTCGTTTGGCATTAAGTTAAAAAAAAAATCAAAATTAGGTATCTATTCTCCAAAACCAGCCGCTTCTGCCCGCCAGGGATCCAACATGCGCCGTATTCGAAGTAATGGCATAATGACCAGTGTTTCCTCATGAAATTAGCACCAGCTTGAAAAAAGAAACATCGCTCGCTTGATCCACAGCAAATAGGACCCTCCCGAGCTGCAAGGACAACTATCCCGGTGCCTGATCAATATTCGAGTTCATAGCATAGGTATCGATAGCCACCTCCTCCGTAGAACATTCTGCCGACCCTCAGAGTCGTGTCCCGTCAACCTCTTTGACAACCACGGCAATGATTAGCCTAAATATCTCGGTCTCGGCGAGAAACCTGAACAAGGGCGTCGAGAACTTCGTCAATGTCGCGGTCCTCGAGGTCTCGTCCCATGAGAGCGATGAAATCCTTGAAGCCGAATTTCATGTTGTCCATCAGCTTCTCATCGCCCCTGCGACGGCTGCGCGTCTCCAGATCCCGTCGCTGGAGGAGGCTTTCGTATAGCATGTCGACGTCGCGGGCCTCGGGGATGCTGTTGCTGACATCGTCGGTCCTTGATTCGAGTTGGCGTAGATTGGTCGGGGCCGCGAGAGCCCGTCCGGCCACCGCCAAAACCACCAGGGCTGCGGAGAGAGAGAGATGCTGGAAGGCAACCATTTTGGATGAATAGATGTCGATTAAATGCTGGCCGGCAGCGTACGTATGAAGCGAAATGTAAGAACAAAAGGAAATACAAGTAAGGAAATAGAGACCAGCTCTCAAGTTGTGATGCTACTTCTTCAGTGTTGAGGCGCAAGAAAAGGCCAAGACGAGATTCTTTAAGCTGAGCGGAAAGATCGCCCATATAAGGCCATCTGGCCCATGGCCACCGATCCAGGTTGTCGGGGTTGAACATGGGTTCGCATTGTACTTACGTGTGGGACTCCGGATTTCGTAGGAGTCGTGGCATGGGTTTACTGCTATTTGGGCATGGATCCAGCTTCATCTGACCGACTGCTTATAATTTTAGAAAGGGATTCCTAGCTTACGATGCTGTCATAGTTTGAATTCCCGGATTCATTGTAGCAAGGAGAGAAACTCATTCATGAAATAGCATCATGGCGATTGGGGATATCAGTGACAACGAACATGTTCGCCCTAGGATAATTCAACTTACATGCACGTCCATCACCCAGCATTTATCCAGGCCTGAAAGGTGACGTAGCTGGGCCGTTAATCCAAGGAGCACATTAGATAATATGCCACTAGGCAGGATTATGCACAAAATGGAGTACAGCGGGAAAATACCGGTTAGCCTGTCTTTCCGGGCTTAGCCGACATCGCAAAACTTCTTTTGCCTTCGCCGGTGATAGTCTTGCGGGCTGCAGGCAATCAATTATTGCACTCAACCAACGAGCACAGCCTATACCACTCCGTTTCGCCCGATCGCAATTACACATTTCATAATCATGGCTTCAGTTATGGCTTGGGGCGCCGGCGCTGCCGTTGCTGCCTTCCTGGTAAGCTCGCCTGGGTAGATGAACAAGGGCTCCACGATTAACATTGAATCCTTTCTTAGGGACGCGCTGGTCTTGTCGCTTGGCGACGCTCGCGCGGAGGTGTCGGCGCAATGGGGAAGGCCTTCTACAAGGGCGGGTTCGAACCCAAGATGACCAAGAAGGAGGCGTCGTTGATCCTGTCTCTCAAGTATGTTCGCCCCCCCGCTGCATCATCTTCCCACCGCATTTACTCACACGTTTGATCAGCGAGCGCAGCATCACAAAGGACAAGGTCCGCAAGGCCCACCGAACAATCATGCTTCTGAACCACCCCGATCGAGGCGGCAGCCCCTACCTGGCCACCAAGGTCAACGAAGCAAAAGAATTGTTAGACAAACAGCACTGATACGGGCTGGGCGGGAGCAAAAGACATATTATCCACACCGCTTACGAGAACTTGTATACATATGAACGACAATTCACCAGCAAGACAATGGGGATTCCAGCATAATGGGCGGTGGGATACTGTACATGTACAAAATGAGTTTCATAGCGATGGCGTTGATCTGGTTGGTGCGAGAGCTATCTGAGGCGAAGACCGGCTCTTCGAATACACACCAATGGGCTAATCTAGAAGTCGAAAGGAAAAAAAATACAGGCTCACATATGGAGCCCATTCTCTCCTCAAGTCTCTGTCCTCTATGTACCCCGTTTGCGCCCCTACATCACTACTATTGGGACCCCAGCCTCTGTAGCGACCTCCGCAGTTTCCTCTGTGGGACTCTCTGATTCCCGGGCGAACACCTCCGGCACATAATCCTCTCCCTTCTCCTTTGCAACTTGCTTGCGCCTATTCTCGATGGCGAGTCCAATCGAAGCACGCAGGGTGAACACCGCATCGTTGCCAGCATTGTGCAGGTTCTTGCTTGAAATGCCAAGGTCCGATAGAACTGCGCCGAGACCACGACCGCAATCGAGCTCTCGCAAGACCTGATGAAGAACCTGGCTGTCGATCGTCTGTTTGATTGAACCAATGCTGGCTAGATCGATGCCAAGACTGAAGAGGTATCGTATGTCTTGATTGACATCATGTCCCACCAGGGCAATGCTGCGGCCGCCTTCAATGTAGGGGTTGAGGATCGCGAGAATTGCCTGCTTTGTCTCCGATTTGGCTGGGAACGTGCTCTCTCTGCAGTGTAGTTAGTATTGGACTTCCTATGTTTTACCAGGACAAGACCTTGGCGGGAATTACACTTACCCAAAGTTGAAAGCATCAGGGCACCCATGGACGTAGTCCCGGTTGACCAGCGCCGATAACTCCCTGACTCGGAGATGATGGGCCTTGATCAATGGCCACCATTCCTCGCCAACAGGTCCAGGTGCAGTCTTCGCGATGTCCCTGGTATCCAGGATTGCGATGCCAATCTCGGAGATAGGGTTCGGTGGCCTCTCAATGGCCTCGACATCAAAACAGACGAGAACGAAGTCTTCAGCAACACCGTCGGGAGAACAAACCCCCAGCAACTTCTGGGCATTTGCAACCATCTGTGTTCGTTCAATTCTCTTCCGCTGCGACTTTTGATTATTCTTGCCACGGCTATCTTTCTTCGGGACGCGCTCCACCAGGCTCACAGCGTCCAAGAACCGCTTCTGCGCAACAGGTGTGGCCGATTTGAAGAGTTCGACATCATCATAGCTGATGGCGGGCAGTTTCTCGAGAGAAAGAACTTTCTGGTCTCGGGATCGCTGGAAATAGCGTGGTCGAGGCGTCTCGTTTCGGAACGTGATGAAGAACTTGTCCGTGCTAATGCCTCCTGGAATCGCCAATGAGATGCCTAACTCCTGGTTGACCATGTCAAGGAAATCTTGGAATTGCGCCGTTGGCACGACCAGGCTCGGCTCGTTCCTAGGCTGGATAGGGTTGTGGATACAGAAACTGTTGTGGTCAGAAAAGAATTTAGAAGAAGAAAAGGTACCAAGATAGAGCCGCTGAGTCGACTTACAAATCCCACACTCTTCCTTCAGTTATCTTCTCCCAAAAAGGAGCTGCCTGGCATACTGTTATTATTGCTCGCACACCAAGGGCCCTTCGTGATTCATTTTGAACTTACATGTGGACGATTAGTGTTGCCGATGAAGAGCTCCCCGTAAGTGGTGACCACTTTCCAGGGAACAAACGGGATATCCGCATCCAAGGGCTCGCCAAGTTGGTAATTTTGGCAGTCAAATGCTCCAGCAGTGCTCGCACGTGGTCCAACGTCATTATTGACGAACAAACGAGGAGCGCTACCTTTGGTTTTGGGAGTTTCAGCAGCAGATTGTGCTAGGTCATTTGAAGGAAGCTTGTTGAGATCCGTTTCCTCTAGGTGGGACTCGGGCTCTGGCTCTCGAAGTGTTACAGATTTTCCAAAGAGCTTCGACAACACCTCCAGTCTTCTAGAAATGTCCATTGTCTCCATCGTGGGCGGGCACTTTGTTCTTCTCGGGTGATAATTAAGGAGAGCGCCGTAGGTGAAACAGGTGGGTGACGAGAAAAAGTAGCCCAGCGAGCTGGATGGTGAGCATTTAAGGAAAGGCAGACACGGCTCCTCTATGTTTTAAAATACGTACCTACTGTAAAATTGTTTGTGCAGGAGGGGAGAGGATGGCGTGGGCTTGATGCCTGAGGAAGAGCAGGTGTGCGCGTTCCGTTGCTCTTGTACGCCAACAATCGGCAGGTACACAACATCAACTAAAGCCTGGGCCTTGTCCGCTCCAGAAATTGATAGGATGAGGTGTTCCTTAATTTCAAGTATTTATTAAACGCCGGGACGTTGCATTCGGAAGAGTATTTCTTCACCAGTGGTCACCGCACTATCTGGTCGCATTTTCCAAGGTACTATCGCAATATACTTCATACATCCGTAGGTAGTGCCTGCCTCCCAGTTCCGACGGGAATTATACGATGCCAACACCCGAAATCATCCGGCGTTATTTCATTCCAATCATAAAAGTGGGCGAAGATACTTGTTTTGCTTGTTTGTAGGGTGCCTGCATATTCCCGTCCATGCTATCTTTGTTTGTAGAACTACTGTGTGGTTAGCAAACCTTTTGTCTCAATGCAAGGGGGCGGATGGCTGCTTTCGGCTTACTTGGTCTGCATCATCCAAAGTGACATCAGATGTATCTGCTTGGGTCTTGTCAATCAACCCGAGTTTTCCATAGCGAATCTTAAACCAGAAATCTCTTCTGTCACCACCCAGAGTTCCCGAGAGCAATGCCTTCTTGAAATTGCGGATGAACGAGTTGAAGAATGTTGGCTCCTCGATGTTGATCAACTCTTCTCGCATTACGCCAATGCATTCCATTGCTTGGTCATACTTGCTGTCTCCAAAGCTTTCCGTCACAAGAGAGCGGATAATGTCTCCCATCTGCTTGGCGGCATCTTCGATTTCGCTCTCCGACTCGGTTGTTCCGATTGCATTCTTGAAGTCTGGAACTGGGTTTTCTGGGCTGATTGTGCCCTTGTCATCACCCAAGAGAGCATCCACATCTAAGCCAGAAATTGGCTTTACCGCATCTCTTCGTCGCTTACCCTTCGCCTTAGGTGGTACTAGATAGAGTTGTTAGCAATGAATGTGTGAGCCTATTTGGGTCGTTTCGAGCTTGCCTTTCTTGACGTCAGAAGCCTCAATTAAAGCCTCAATCGCGTCTTTATTCTTCGCTAGGAGGTCTTCGGGGGGAGACGAGAATTGTAGCAAGATTGGTGGAACAGGCGGCAAAGAGCCGTCTGGATGTATCGCCCTGTTCTTCACGGCATGATTGATACGATGGATTGATGGGTTATAAGTCTCCTCGATTGGGGCATACTCGGACGGTTCCCTAACCGGTTATTAGCATTATGGGTCATTGGGACTCGCAGGCGGCTGATCTCACCCGTCATCGTCGACCTCATAGGTCGAGATGTCCATCGCATCAACGTAATCGCTCATAGCCACGTTGAGATCATCCGAAGGTAGGAACCGATGTTCGCTTTTTAGCGTCTGTCCAGTAATTGTAACAACCCTGTCTAATGGTGGAAATTGATAGCTGCGGATGTCCTCGGCGAAAGGTAACGGCACGTCATATAGACACTCCAGATCTGGCTCAATGTGTGGTGCCAATAGAACCAACTGAGGGTCCTTACCATCCTTGGTAATAAGACGTGCGATGGCATATGACTCAACTTCATTGAGTGCCCATACGAGGGAAGAAAGTGCCAATTCGGACTTCTCATCAAACTTACGGGCGTGGGTAACGCACACCTCGCCCATATTGAGAAACAATTCATACTGGTGGTAGAGTGGTCAGCTGCCAGGGAACCCTCAGGACAGTAAATTATGCGAGATTTACCTTATTCCAAGGAATGAAGCCAATGATTGTGAAGCTCTTCACAGACTCGAGCTTCGTGATATTGTGTTCGGACTCGCTTATGTGGACTGCTGTTCTGCCGTACTCGAAGCCCTTGGCGAGGGATTCGAATTCTACGTCTCGCTTTCCGCCTGGCGCATCAGCATCATTCACTTTGTATGATCGGTTCTGCTTGACGGCAGAAAATTCAATGCCTTCCATATCACCACCGTCGACAGTTTCGGTGGATTGTGACCCGCCTTGTTCTGGCTTGACCACAACTGTGCTGGCCGCCAAAGGGCGAGCTAGGTGCGTCTTAAAGTATCTCTCGACATTGATGTTCATGGCTGCTGGGAACTTTTCTGGATCTCCGAGAGTAAGAGAGCCGTCGTAAGTCTTATACGGCTTAACAGATTTGACTCTGGGTGTGTCGAGCTGGTCAATGGCCTCGCCGATGGAAGCAAAGACGCCATCAGTACAAGCATTGGCCAGTGTTTTTAATGTTTGCTCGTTTTCAGCCTAATGGGAATTGTTAGACTACGTTCGCATGATTGGTTGGACTTTGAACAACACCTTTTGGGGAGGCTTGTCTTCCTCTTTCACACCATACTCTTCATCGTCAAAATCCACACCCCTGGCAGGGGTAATGTTAGCAGGGGTAGCTATGGTCAAAGACACATTTAACTCACAAAATTGTCAGTTGGATGTTGGAATCGTTAATCTTTTTGGCGATATCATCAACGTCATCGGCATCCATGGCCCCCTGTCCATCTGTGACCAGGTATATCTTCCGCGTCCATTTGAGCTTCTTAGTAAATGTTGCCATCATGTCGACAGCGACAACGATGGCAGAAATTGCATCGCCCGTCGAGGTGCTGCTTGGCGCAATGGAAGACTGCAGATCTCGCAGAGCAGTCATGCCCATTGGGCCAAGTTCCTGCAGCACGGAAATATTCTCGTAACCTTCATCCTCCTGCAACTTGTTGTTGGTCTCATCCGTGCGCAGCCCCACGACACCAATACACAACGTCTTGCGATTTGCGGAAACCGTGTCTGTGACTTTGTCCCACACGTATCGCATACTCCAGTCTAGGTCTGATTCTGAGCGTCCATTATTGCTCTGTGCCATGGACGAGCCAAGGTCAATGATGAAGATGCTGGCCTCTTTTTCAGCCATTGTAGCTGGTAATGATCAATTGAAAGAGCAATCGCAGGAGGATGACAATTTGTGAAGAGGAGAAAGCCACTGAGGAGGATGGTAATGGAATTATAAAGAGAGATCCTGGCGCATGCTCACATCCGATGGCGCGCTTGCTGCTGACGTTTAGGCAGAAGTTGAACCCACAACCAGGTGCCTTGCAGGGTCACATCCCGACACGGTTGTAACGCGACATCACGTGACAAGGACATGGAAACCGCCTGATCATTAATGATGTCAATTGGGGTTGCCGGCTCCCCCGACTTCATTCATCAAATCCTCAGCTCAATCCAAACACTACTGACCAAATTATTGATTTGAGAATCGTCGCAATGGCTGGATCTATTCTTTTTTCAGCGGCACCGTACCACATAATAGCGTAAGGACTGCCGACCACAAAGCCACTCAGAGCAACCCAATTGCTAATGCAGCCTCGGCAGATATGGTACCCTGCTAGGCACATCCTTCTGGCATGTAAGTCGAATTAAACTTGGTCTTGGTGTTGATACACATACTTACCCAGTGATAGTCTTTCATTGTCGGGCCAGTTATGTTCAAAACCGTTGAGCGGCCTGTTTTCTCGGCTGTCCAGAGCGGACTCTTCCCAACCTACTTTGGTCTGCAGACTGCAATCCCTGTTGTGCTAGCTTTGACTTTTCCTGGAAATAGCCTTCTGGGCATCTCATCTGGAGTCTCGGGCCTTCTGGATGAATCTCACCGCATTGGATCGTTGCTCCCCATCACTACTGCCTTCCTCTCCGGTTTTGTCAACTTTGTTGTCTTGCTTCCTGTAGTGAACAAAGTTATGAAGCAGCGTCAAGGCCAAGGTATGCTATCCTCCACATCGATCTTCATTCTAGCACAGGACAATAAATTTAACTGGGATCAATAGCCAAGCGTGATGGGAAGGAATGGTACGCCGAAGGTCCTCACTCTGAGGAGATGCGAGCTCTCACCAAGAAGTTTGGCATGCTCCATGGGATCTCCTCTCTTCTCAACCTCACAACTTTTGTGTCCGCGCTGGTCTACGGCTTTACCCTGGGATCTCGCATCCAGCCTCTTGCTGCATGAGCCATGTAAGATATCATTTTAACACGTAAACATTTGGATTGTCTGTTTTGAATCTCGTTACAACTCAATCTTCATACTCTCAATCACGCTCTCAATCTCCATACTCTCAATCATACTCTCAATCTCCCATGCTCTCAATCTCCATACTCTCAATGCCAACCATAATTACCTCCTCACCTTCCTTCGTTTGAGTGAGAAAAAAAGAAAAAACACCCGGAAGCAATGAACAGTGAACATAATAAGCGATGCGTGTGCAGAATAATCTCGCAATGCAGGGAAGGAGAAAACGCCAAGATGGTCGGCAACGGGGGCTCTCTAGCGTGAGCCCTTCCAACTGACTTGGAGGTGGGAGGGGGGCCAACGGTGCTCTCACCAGCAAGTGGCTGTCGATTAACGTGGAGTGGGAAAAGTGACGAGTGTTGGGGGTATGCTCTTCTCGAAATCAACGGCTCTGCATTTTCTGATGCGACTGAAGGAGCTTAGCCTTGATGGCATCGAGGTCTTGTTTTGCAGTGGTGGCCGGGGTGCTCTGCCGAGTTATCTGCTGCTGGATTCTTGCTCGATTGGCTTCCATCTGCCCAGCAATAGTCCATCGACCAGGTTGGCGTCCAAGAGCTTCGTCAAAGTCAACATCACCCTCGGGCTTTGGGAAGTCGCGCATGAGGGCGGGCAGGTGCTGGTTGGGGTCTTTCTTCAAATCATCCGTGTTGACCTTGGCTTCATCAACGTCGGAGGTGGAGGGGGGGATGTGCTGGGGGTTGAGGTTGGAGTGGGTGAAAAGGAGCTTTGCTTGTCACTCATTGTGCCTTGTTTTCTTTTGTCTTCTTGTTTCTTCTCAGGAGGGATGGTTTTGTTGTGACTTTGAGGCTTGGGTACTGTTGAGTTGAAGTTTCTGAACAAGTTGTCGCGTTGAAAAAGAAAAAAATAATAGGCGAGGTCACTTCGTTCTTATCGGCTTTTAGGGCTTTCACTGCCTTTCGCTGCCTCCCGCTGCCTCCAGGTCTCCTCTCACTAGCTTCTACATAGGGAACACCCCGAAACTCAGCGCCCATCATTCACAATCTGGTCTCATTTTTTGGATGATAAGATTTTTAGATATCTCATTTGTGGGAGATCTATGTGAAGTAACTATTAGTAACTATTCTTCCCCGTTCTCTGAAGACCGGGCTGGCTCTTTCTCTGAGCCGCCAGTATGCTACAGAAGAATATTCATCGCACAAAGTGAAAGCGTATTTCATTTTATGGAACTTGAATAATAGGCCCATTTCATCCTAATGATTCAACCATGACTTATTTCAATGGTAACAAAGACGTTCGTTCATTGTACAGCGGTGCTCATCGTCAGTTGCTGCTCGGCATAAGTGCCTACCCTATAGTTCTCGCACCAGAAGGCCAACAATAGCTACCGTCGAACTCTATTCCTAGAGCTTTTTTCTTTGGTTACCTCACATAATTTACAAAAGAGAAAAAAATACATTATTCCTTGATCAAATGGAACAAAAAGGGAGTTGCTAATGAATCAGTAACCAGCGTTGCTGTCAAGTGGCTAGTGTCAGAGTTGGGCGGGACGTTACTGACTAATCGCGATGGTCATGAATCGGATGCATTACATGAACATCTGGCAAGAACTGCCTGACATCTCACCATCGTTAGCAGTTCTCATCCTCGCTTTCAAGGCCAAAACTCATTTGTGAATATTTTTCAATTTGAGTTAAAACATGACAGCTAAGCCCCAATACCTTACCGGCGATATTGCCGCCATTAATGAATTCATCGATCAATTTGATGTGAGCGATTTGTTGCGACTGAATGGCTATGTTTTCATCTGACACTCACCCCCTTTTTAGGTTTTTCTGCTAGATTGCGACGGTGAGGCACAACTGTCATGTGTGATGCATTGAAAAGAAGCTCATTGAAATTAGGCGTACTGTGGTCTGGTGATCATGTCTTCGAGGGCATCCCCGAGACTATCAAGCTCCTCCAGTCAAAAGGTATTCAGCCAGCCCACCGATTGAGGGCCAATTTTCAGAAAGTAACATCGGCTGGACCACAGGAAAAAGAACCGTTTTTGTGACGAACAACTCTACCAAATCACGAGAAGAGTATCTCAAAAAATTCACTAAACTCAACATCCCAAGTACTGTCGAGGATATCTTCGGCTCAGCGTACTCGGCGTCCATTTACATCTCCCGCATCCTTCAGCTGCCTCCTGGAAAGAGCAAGGTTTTCGTCATCGGAGAGATTGGTATCGAAAAGGAGCTAGACAGTGAGAATGTGCCGCACATTGGCGGGACGGATCCCGAGCTCAGAAGAGACATCACCCCTGCCGACTTTGAGGGCCTTGCCAATGGCTCCCTGCTGGACCCGGAGGTTGGTGTTGTGCTGGCCGGTTTGGATTTCCACTTCAACTACCTCAAGATGGCCCACGGCTTTCACTATCTCAAGCGAGGTGCCAAGTTCTTGGCAACCAATATCGACTCTACGCTGCCCATGCATCACGACTTTTTCCTGGGTGCTGGGTCCTCAATGGCACCTCTGGTAACGGCCTGGGGGCAACCTCCTCTCGCGCTCGGAAAGCCCAGCCAGGCCATGCTCGATGCTGTCGAGGGCAAGTTCCAGCTGGATCGGTCTAGGACGTGCATGATTGGGGACAGACTGAATACTGACATCAAGTTTGGAGTTGACGGGAAGCTGGGCGGCACTCTTCATGTCCAAACTGGCGTTGACAAGAAGGAGGCCTGGGAAAAGGAGGACGCCATTGCCGTCCCTCGATTTTACGTTGAGAAGTTGAGTGATCTGCTCCTTGCTAAAGAGTAAACTTGATTATGCATATTTATTTTCTAGAAGAAACAAATAGACCCTTGATAGAGAGATAGAGCCACCTTTCCTACCTGACGAGGTTGAGAAGAGTGGGGTTTGATAGATAACTCTGTGGTGTCTCTGCAGAAATCGACCATATTGCCTTTGCCAGTTTGTCAATTCCGTGGTGCGTTAACTTTACTTTGAAGACTGCCCTGAGTCCAGATATAACGTGGGACGGTTATTTTTGTTTCTTGGTTTCCTTTTGAGCAATTTTGGCCACATTCTTGGGAGGTTTGTAGCCGCCAAGCGAAGTAGGAATGAACATGCCAACCTGCTTTTGGTACTCTGAATATTCCGGATACTTTCCAGTTGTGATGGCCTCCGTGAGCCAAGTTGACCCTTGGAAAAGTAACACTAGAGCGCCAGCCCCAATTCCAGTCCAGCTGTAGACGTTGTTGGTCGCGTAACAGCTCCACTGGTAGAGAACTAGCCAGATGCTCTGCTCCGCAAAGAAATTGGGGTGCCTGCTGTATGCAAACAAGCCCGATGTGAGAAAACCACGATCAAGGTCAGGCCGGCTGAACCCTTGGGGCACCTTGGCATCCTTTAGGTATTTGTGTTTGGCGGTTTGATACGCTTGATTAAGCAGCCTCGTTAGCGACCTGGACTGGAGAAGGAGTGATAAACGAATTGAATGGTTCGGGGAACATACTCCACATCTGGCCGTCACTGAGGAATTCACTGACGACGAGCAAGACCTCTACAACGAAGTACAATACATCTGGTGTTGTGATAGATGGTTCGAACTGGGTAGAAAGCAGAATGGCGTATGCAGGTATGCATGAGAAAGAGAACAGAAGGACACTCTGAATGAAAGAAATAAAGGTGATGTTGAATATGATCCATACGAATCGAGGGAGATATTTCTGAACAATGGCCCTGGTGTAAACAAGTTAGCTGGACGAGTTCCATTCGGTTTCGCTGAGAGACAGCCTACCATCGATAGTCCTCCGAGCCAACGGTGTAACCTCCCTTACGCCAATAATTGAAGGTTAAGCGCGCCTATGGAAGCATTTTGTTAGTACAGTGACAATCTTGGATGAAGA